GGGTCGGGTCCCTAGGTCGGGTCCCGGGTCCGGCTGCACCGCCCCGGCCGTGCGCGCCCCTGCGGTGCGTCTGGTTGGGGCCCTGAATCACCGGGATCCAATGTGGGGTGGAGGCTCCTCAGGGCAGACGGCGCTTCTCTCGTTTCCGGTGAGATTAGGCGAATTCCCCCTCCCTTCTCCCTAAGACAGGGAGCTTACGTTTATTTGCCTCCTGTGTTAGGTATCACTCACTTCCTTCGATTATCCTGGCAGTTTTCCTATTCATCTTAGAAATGCAAACTGAAAGATGTGCTTTTTCTGTCGTATGGACAGTTGTGTAAAAGCTTATTAGCGCCAGCAGGTAGCAATCATCTGTGCTTTGGGGCCCGGATCATCGCGTTGTGCCGGGCTGGGCTTTGCAGGGCGTCCTTGGACGCAGGCTGGGGCTCAGCCCCTGCATGGGGGTTTGCGGCTGAGCAGACAGTGTGTTGAGAGGGAGGAGAGGGATCTAAGGCACAGAGATTGGGTAACGTGCCTGCTCTTCACGGAAAGTGACAACGCTGGCAGTGGAATCCATCACTTATTTTATTTTTTTTTTTTTTTCCCCCTCTCCCCTCATTTCCGCCCCCCCTTCAGCCTTCATGTAGGGCTGTCTTGTTTTCTGCAAATATAGGCTTTTGGGAAAAAAAAAATGCCAGCCAAATTTGTATTTCCGTTGAGACTGAGTTGAAGTTTGTCTCAAGCTCCACTTATTGTCCGAATAATATGAACTTGTCATCAAGCTGTAAGATAAGAGCTATAATTTAGTTTTGTGTGGGGATTTTTTTTCCTCTTTGTTTATCTCTTTTCTTCTTGAAGTACAGGTAACCTTTCTGTTTTAAGGTAGAAGACATCACACTGTGTGGATCTTGTATTCACAGGGTAGCCTACTTTATTTTAATAAATTCTTCTTAATTATTGGGGCTATGATGTGTATTTTGCAAAACTGGGAGCTCTAAAAGCATCATTCTCAGAATGAAAAGTTGGTTGAATGCAGTGGAAGAGATAGCATTAATATAAAAACGAAACAAAAACAATCCCCCCAAATCAAGCCATATATGTCAAGTGCAGGATTGCTAAAGAGAAGTACTTGTGGTGTTATAGTTGTAGCCTAATATGAAGTAAACTGGATATTGTACTTTCATATGTTGTCTTCAGTGATTTCATCCTATATATATATATAAAATCTTACCTAAAGTTCAACAACTGGTCCTAACTTGTCATGGAAAAGCCCATGAAATGTAGAAAATAGAGCTTGTGATTGGTATTGTATCTTTGCCCATAGAGTAAGAAGTTAGGCTTTTGACTTATATTTTATTGAAAGATTTTATTACTTAAGCCTTTAAAGCCTCAAGAGGGACCTTTTTCAATATCACTGGCATTGCTTTTGTTGGCAGGGCTTTCTGCTGGATGAGCTAATGTGTACAAGTGGTTTTGTGTGTAACAGACTCAGTCTGCAGCACGTCCTGTTGTAGCTCTGGTCTCATCAGTGCCCGTGCCAATGTGCCAGCAGCAAGCAGGGAAGCTTCAGGAGCTCCCCCAGTCACCCTCACTGAATAGTGGGCAGCGAAATGCTTCTAAGGTTCCTGTGTTGAACTTTCGTGGTCCTTGTAGGCAAATTTTAAAAGAAGCTTTAGAAGATGAGCCCCCTGATTCCTGCCTGGGGGTTGGGAAGCGTGAAAAGAGCTTCCTCCCTATTATAAATCTCTTATCTCTTCCATGATAAACTGCTTTGACTTCCTGTATTAGAACCTGCGGTTGCTGGTGACTTTTGGAATATGGGACCTAATAGTGCTGTCCATTCTGGGGCTTAGCAATTTTTGCAGTTCCGACATACATGGTCCTCAGTCCAGGGCTTGTGAGTTGTAAACCTGTGAAGGTTTTAATGGACTCTTCATAAAAAGAATAACTTGTTTCAGAGCTTTTTCAAGGCTCCCCAGTTCTTTGCCTATCAAGAAGTGTTGCTTCTGATGTGTGTGTGGAGGTGCATTTTGTTTTTTCCCTTTTTCCCATAAAGATATGAATCCACAGAAAGAGGAGGAAAGGATAATGTGCCTGACATTGTTCTGATGAACTTTGTGGAATAATTCATGGGCTATACCCATCATAACTTAACTCCTCCTTTGGGGAGGAAAATGGAAAGCAGGAAGTGGCTGTGGGCACGTTCTAGCAAGACTAGATTGGGTTTCTTATTTAAAAATGCTCGCTATTGAGGAAGTATGCCAAGATGCCCTGTTCTGTGGCTGCGGGATTGTTTTCCATCCAGGGCCTCAACGGAGGTGAACGGGCCAGTTCTCTGTAAGTCTGGCTTCCTAGTCTTGCCTGATTAAGGAAGGCACTGATGTTGTGTGTGCCTCTTGCTTTTTGTTTTTAAGCTTATATTTCTAACCTCTTTGTTGAAAACAGTCTTTTAAATAGGAAGAGGACTAAAAGAAATTAATCTTCAGAATTATTCTGTTGGTTTTTTTGTTGTTGTTGTATGTGTTTTTTTTTTATTGCTGTTTTTTTTCGGTTTTGTTTTGTTTGTTTGTTTGTTTTTAGACTTCAGCTGGTAGTGGATGTGAAGTCTTGGCCCACTGGATGTCAGTTTTCAAGCGTATTCACTGGCCAGGCTGTCAAAATAGAGAAGTTCACAGAATGAAGTGGGTTTTTTGCCTATGGACCACTAGAGATCTTTACTCAAATGCATCAGGCTAAGATGACTTCCATTTTTAGTAAGGCTTTTATGTTGTGTGGAAATTTAGGAAATACTCTTTAGTAATGGTGTTTTGCAGGCAAATGTACTGCACTGTAATCCGACACTTCTGCTCTGCTGTGATAAAGCTTTATATTCAAATTCAGGTTTTTCATTGTGTTCTTCTGAGTTGAATTTTCCTACTTGACCTTAATTCAGCTGCCTCTCCAAAGAACATGGAACCTTCATCAGTTGTGTGTGTAATGCTATATAAAATATTTCTATCATCTCTGTAAAATCTGAAGCTCTTCCAAGTAAAAAGGAACAGGAGCTTGAAAATATTCTGTTTTCCTGTAAAACTTGAATAGGTGGTAACAGTTTTAAAGGGTGTGTTCAATTTTACATTTATGGTAAGTTACATAGAATATTAAATTGAATCTAGACAGCCAGGCTGGTGCCTACCTGCTCTCTTGATTTGTACTGAGAACCTCAGTCTTGGGACTCCTTTCTTGGATCTGTTGAGCCTAGTGGCAGTGGCTTCTTGCTGAAAAGCCTGATCATGTACAAATCCAGGAAAAGGAACTTAGGAAATAGGGTATAATATTCAGAAATGTCTAGATAGGGTATCTAGATGTTTGTGTAACTCAAGTATCTTCAATTGGCTGTAGATGATGGGTTATATTACTTTTTTTTTTTTTTTTTAAACTGGCTAAGCTGCACTCTTTAGCATGGATATACTCTTGGGAAAACACTTGCGTCTGTGGTGTGCTGTTTCACTAGCAGTTCTGTCTGGCCCACTTGTGGCCGTGATCTGTGGTTGCTCCCAGGCAAGAGTTGTGTGACATTTGCACCTCATAAGGAAAACAGCAATTTTCTGAATACATGCAAGTTAGAGACTCAGACCACTTGAAGTGAGGAGAAATCTTGTTTGTAAACTGGTGACTTTAATTAGTGGTTTAGTTTTCTTAGGGTAACTCTTCATCTAACCTTTCTCCTCCATTTAAAGCATTAGATTTTTGTCTGACTTCCATCCCAGACGCATAATAATTTTGGCACTAGAGCTGAGTTTTTTAATCTTTTGTTTCTATCTGTGATGCTGGAGGTAAGAAGTCAACCGTGACTCCTTGGCCTGCAGGAATGTCCCTCCCGTGCCCAGGGCTTTGTTCGCCAGCCTGGTCTGCTTTCTCTGCCACTGGCTGTGAAGCATCTGGAGCCAGAGACCAACTAAAGCACTCTGACAACTTTATGGGGGGAGGCTGCTTTCTGAATTCAATTTTCACATCTTTACTACCCGAATATGTTTAATTCCTCAAGTATCATTGTAGCATGTTAAATTTACACTGGTCAGAAACAGACTTGAAAGTATGTGCTTGTAGCATCAGGTCTTGGCCATCAGTTTGAAAGGTCTAAGTGGTTAGTGCTGATTTTGACACAGGACCCCTATAAAAAAATGAGTTTATCCTATATAGCCAGATCCAGCAGTGTATTTGAAAGGGCTTCTGTATTCTGGGGGGAAAAGGGATAACTGTTAGGCAAGACTTAATAGTAATCACTCTTTGGGGCCTTTGCCATACTTTGGGTTCAGTCGCTGCATGCACAGGGTATGGGATCTTCAATCAGTATCATGATTGTGAGGCTGTGAAAATGAAGTCCTAATGTTCTGTTTCTGCAAATGCAGGACTAGTACTGCACACACTACTAGAGCTTTCTTTACATCTTCTTTTTTTTTCTTCCTATTTAATGTATGCATCCAGTATGTGGAGCCTGATAAGGCTCTGGATAGGATTGGCAATAGCTTTGTCGCTTTTATTGCTCCCTGCAAGCCCTTTGTTTTCATTGTACTGTGCTTGTGAAAGCACTTGAGCGACATCAGTGGTGCTAGAAATGTTTGGTAGATGTGCTCTCCTAAGAGAAAATATACCCACCGTGTCAGGAGAGCTGTTTCAATCCTTACGCTTGGTGTAAGCACTGCAAGCACAATCTCTGGTGAGAAGATGGTGTTGTGCTGGGTATAGCTTAGGCCAGATGATTGAGTGAAGGAGGTTGTGTCAGTCACTTGTCAGGAATGAGAAACGGAGTCGAATAAGCTCTTTTGGCAAACTGCTGGTTCTTAAGTGCCTTTTCTGTGTTTTTTATCCCAGTCTCTCACATCAAGAGTTGGGAATGAGTCTATCATGCAATTCCAGATAATCTCATTGCATGAAGTATTGCATATATGAACTCTTTTCATGGACCAAAAATCCTTTCCCCAAAAGTGGTATACCCACATTAATGTGTGACCTTCTCTTCCTGCTTTAAGTGCTTGTTGTCTGCTGTTTGAAAAGCTTTTAGTACCGGTGTCATACTATTGGAGAAAAGGCACTTGAGATCATACCATACTTATCTAGAAACTGAGTGTTAAAAGCAGTATCTGTCAGGGTAGAATAAAATGAGCTTTGCAGAATTCTTTCTAAGCATGGGGACTTTGATTTAGGCCACGTAAGGCAATTCAGATTTAGGCAGGGAATAGTTTATGTTGCTGACAAATTATTGTTTGCCGCCTGTAGTTTTTTGTAAGATTAAATATAAGTGTGCACAAATAACTTGGACAGCTGTAGCTTCAAGTTTTTAAGCTTTTTTTTCCTTTTGAAATGATATGTAGGAATTGGGATTTTCTGTGGCAGTAAGAAATGATGAAAAAGAATAAGACGACTTTTTTTTTTTCCTCCCATACAGATATACTTCTATTACCATACCAAAGATTACTTCATTACACAAACTTTACCTTATCCAATGAAAGGGTAGTGATAACACAATCTTATGGAAAAGTTTTTAAATATCATTGCCTCCAGTTCATTTTCTACAGTTTGAATTTTTAACTTTGCATCTCAGTTGAAGGTCAGCGGAGTTTTGAGTGCAGGTCTAATATGTAAAGTTAAAGTTGATTTTTACATCCTGTTATAATATAGCCCTGCACAACTGAACAATGGTACAGTGAACTGTACCAGTACTGAGTATTAATCTCAGAAATGGTGCTGGTTTTGGCTTAGTTGTTAAATGGAGCATGAGAGGAAGAGTGTGAGGTGGTGGAAATGCAGCAACTACTGGTGTTTGCTCTGGGGCTCTTCTGGGGGGAACATAGGAGGTCACTGCGTGCGGCGTGGTAACTGTGCAAGTGATGTGTCCAAGACTGTTTATTTCAAAGTGGCTTTTGTTTTAAGGCTCTGCTGGTTTCCTGTAGGCCTCCAAAATTCCCAGGCTTAGGTGTATCTGTAATGGTTTGGTGCATATTAGCTACTGAACCTTTGAAGATTTAGTGGAGTAAACATATGTGGGATGAGTCCTTTTTAAGAAAAGATAATGATCTAAAATTCCCTTTTGAAGGACTGGGTAGGGTTCAAAAATGCTTCCTCGCTTAATTGCTATCGTAGAAGACAGGCAAAATTATTTAGGAAATTAGAGGTAGCTTTTAAAGTCGTGTTTACAAAAAGCACAATAAATTAGGGTAGCATTACATGGTGAATATAGCTACATTGTTAATTATTACTACTACAATTAAATAAAGTGTTCAGACTTGTGTAAAGGCTGAGTACCCTGGAAGTAGGGAGCAAAGTTGGATGTAGTGGCTCTAGTATTTTAAAGGCTCTTCTGACTTGGTGATGTAAAGTTACGTCTCTGCCTGTGATCATATGATCTGAGGGTCTTCAGTATTAAGCGACTGCTGTCATGCTACTTTGGTGCTAGAAATGGTTCTAGCTGTTAGTGCAGAACCATTTCTGTAGCTGCTCTCGAAAGAAAAGAGGCTCCTGCTTATGCAGTGAGACTGTTGTTGCATAGCAACTACTGTACTGGAAACTTAAAATCAGATGCTCCCTTGAAGATCACAGTGCCTGGAGAATGCTTACTTTATCTGGGCCTCGCACTGCCTCTCTCCTAGCAGTGAGTGTCATGTACATTTTTTTTGTCCTCAAGCTTGAGAATTGTGTACAATTTTTTTAAAAACTCTGATTTTCCTGAAGAATGTGTTCTGTGCATTTGCATTTATCCATTCATAATGTGATTAATCACACTTATTAGCAAATTTGAGGGACGCAGAACTTGGGCTCCCGCAAGTATTGTGAGCTTTGGAGCTTGGGTAACTGTCTGGGGCAAGAGAGGCAGCGATGCTGTCCTGACAGGGCACGGGCCATTGCCTCTGGTCCTGGCTCCAGTGTGCAGTGGCTGTGGGTTGGCAAACGAGTGTGAGTATCCGTGCCGTGTGGCTGGCTGGTACGTATAGCTCCTGGCAGCGTGGGATGCCACAGGTGGAGACAGAAGTGGGAATTTGGGAGGCCTGTGGGGAAGCTCGGAGGTTGATTGGCTAGAGGCAGAAACCAGTCCTAGGTTGCTGGGATGATAGTCCAACTTTTCTCTGCCTAGCTGCTAAATTTGGCAGATAAGAAGTGAACTGTTTTATGAAAAAAAAAAAAGTAGACTTGAGAAAATTTGGGAGATAAACAGAATCTGACCTATATAAATTGCTTTGAAAAATACTTTATATGAAAGTAACATTTTTCTACCCCTTAAAATATGCTAATCCATGTTGAAGCACATGTTCTCATGTTTGTGCTTCTCCTTGAGAATGCCAGCACAGTTTATCATCGTTGGTGTTTTTAGGGAGCCTCTTTGCTCCCCTTGAGCACTTGTCTGTGTTCATGGTTTGACTTCAGATGTTCGCTGTGTTCAGATTTAAAATGTGAAATTTGCTTACATAATCATCTTCAGAGATGCTGAGAATTTGCTTCAATAGCTGTTAATTACCTCTCTAGGCTTTGAATTATTTATGATACCAGGTGCTTTTAAAAAGGAGGTTAGTAACAGTGTGGACTCAGTATGTAACACTGAAGCTTTGAAAAAGGTCCTTATCTTGTATATCCAGTGCTTGGGATGATCTAGGTGTTGTTTTGAGATGCAACATTTACTAGTGTAAAACTGTGCAAAGCGTCATATTGTGTTAATGATGCAGTAACACACACACATTAGCACAACCAAAGCAAATATTCTTATTTTAATATAATAGTGATAAAATCCATACCTCTTCTGCATGATGTCTGAAGTAGTCCAGATAGTGTATATTAACAGACAGGAAGCCTTAATGTTGGCATTTTAATATAGAGATTTCCTTTTTCTTTTTTCTTTCATTTGTTTTACAGTTAACTTTCTGAGGACCTGACCCTGATTTCTGGACAGAATTAATGAATTCTGTATGTTTGGAATCTAGCATATTAAGATACTTATCTTCTACGTTTATTATGATAATGTGATTTTAAAATCACATAATAATTTCAAGTTTGAAATAGGCATCAAACTTGACAGTTGTAATGCAGATTGGGAAGAATGAAGTTAACAAAAAAGCCCAGTTAGAAGAAGAGTTAGCCTGGAGCAGAGAGGCTGGCGGTGCTTATCTGCTGTGGGAGAGGATGCAAAGGCTACTTCTTACATGGTCAGCCATGTAGGCAAGGGGAGGCAGATGTTGTACTGTGCCATAAACCTCAAGTATGTCTGTAGATTTGATAGCTGAGCTGTGTTACACCTGGCTTAATGATCTGCACTGAAATTTGTCATCTTTTAAGATACGCTTGTTCTCTATTGCTGTCAGAGCTCCTTCTGCCCAGTGACTTAATTTTGCTCAGCTAATTTTCATGAATGCCTCTAGTGCAAGTGCAGGGTTCAAGAATTTTGGTCTACTGCCAGTAATAATCAGTAATTGGGGTGATGTGCTCACGAGGGGTGGTTATTAGTTGGGGACAATTTGTATCTCTTTGGTACTTGGCCTGTGGTGAGTTGACTTCTGATTTCAAGTAAAGTTGAGTGGAGGAAGGTGCTTGGAAATTAGGTGGGATGTTTTTGGAAAAAAAAAATCTTTAAGGCTGTAATTTTAATTAGTAATACTTAATAATGTAAATACATCCACTTTTTATCCTAGTAAAGCTGTCTTTTTAATTTCTGTTCTTCATGAGGTCAGGTTGCCAGAGCTATTACGGAAACTAAAAAACTGTTGCTTGTTTGAAAAGTTTACTTTTATTGGATTAACTGCTTTCCTGTTGTATAGATAATCTGTAATTTAGTGCACAGGAAACTTTTATCTTTCTAAATAACAAGCTAATGCTTTTTAACAGTATTTTAATTGTGTCAGGTTACTCTATACATGTTACTAAATTATGCAAATATTCTGTAGAACTCTGTGAAAAGCTGTGGCTATTCCTGTGGATCCCCTAATGTCTCTTCTTAAGTGTTTTGAAGGTTCAAAGAGTTAGGCAAGTTTGTATCTCCTTCCTCTAACTAGTAGTCAACTAATTTAAAAAAAAAAAAAAAGTTTTAAGGAAGTTAGACTGTGTTTATCTCCTTACATCAGGCATTGATACATGGATCTTCCCATTGGTATTTAGCCACTTGCCTACCTAAAACCCCAGGCAATTCACGCAGCCTGTCATTCAACAACTTCAACACTGCTACAATATCTAAATGCTCGATAATTAAATACCATTCAACTACTGTTCAAGTCCCCGTGACTGTAGCTGTTATAAACAAGCAACCAACCAAACCCAAAAAACTTCCCCTCCACCACGAGAAGTGTTCTGTGATCTCCTAAGGTGTTGTACAAATACACTGTTCTCAATTTAAGATCAAAACAGGGATTAAAAACAGATTTAGTTTCCCTGGTAATGACTTAAGTTTTTGATGAACTGCTGTGTGACTTTTTTTGCTTTTTCTTTTTTAACCTGACTCATTTATCAACAGTGTTTCAAGGAGTTCTTTTTATATATATAGTATATATGTATATAAAAGCTTGGGAAGTTGCTTAGTGTTATACTTGCAAAAAGGCCATTTCAAGCCCTTGAAATGAAGACAGAACACCTGAGGGATCATGAGAGATTGAGACTGGGTGTTGGGAGGGGCGACTGTGCATTTCACTTGTCTTAAGAAATTTGCATTTTGTCAGCCTGTCATTAATAGGTTTATTCAGAGGGAGGACTGCCTTGTAGCAGAATATAGTGAATTTATACATCATGTAAAGGAGGATTTCTTCTAGTTGCCTTATTCTTCAGACAGGTATTTTAGCTCATGGGAAATGTCTTCAAAAAACACGCCACAAACTTTTAATATGCACTGTTTAGATGTCTATAAAAATTTGTCAACGAAAATCAGAATCCTGAGTCTTGGGGCTGTTGTTCCTCATCACTTAATCATTTGAATCATATAAGCCAAGAACTATGCAGGCATGAGAAAGAGCACAGAAATGTTTTGCCAATATGCCCCTTCTGTTCTTGTTTATTTCTAATCATATCCAGAGTGTTAAATTTTAAAACACCAGGTTTGAAATAAATACAGATTGTTAAAATATGTATTATTAAAAAAAAAAATTAAATGCTGCCATATATTTAATGCTGTGTATGTCTTCCTTCTAGGAGAAGGAGCGACAGCTGAAGTTTCTTCATCTTTTGTGATTCTGTCTGTATGTAGTCTAGTAGTGCTGGTAATACTGCTTGCAAACTGTGTCTCCTGCTGTAAAGATCCTGAGATAGATTTCAAGGTAAGCATTTGAAGCTGCAAATGTAAATACAAGTGCTATTCTGGCAGTGTTCTCATATCCATAATACCTGATTACTTGTGCTAATAGTCAGCAGATATTGACACTTCTATGTCGCTAGGCATTTTCTCTTCTGAAATAGTCACAACTGTGTATCTGCATGTGTTGAAACGTTGTTACAGCCGGTAATTTTCAGTACTTGGTCTAGGCTGCAACACCGATCTGTCTTCTCAAAATCATTGCTGTCTAGTGGGGTATCTAGTAGAGGTAGACCCATAAGGCAGTTTTACAGTAATTAAAGATCCTTCTTCCTATGTCTTCCCATGTTTTCTTTGAAATTGTTTTTCAAAATGCTGATGGGATTTAACGTATTTCAGTCAAATAAAGATATTGAAGGTGCGTACTCACTGTAGCAAAACTCCTGTGGACAAGTTGTTGTCATCAGAGAATGGTTAGTTCTGGAACTCCAGTTATCAGCAACCTTGATTTTTGGATTTTGCTCTCACTTCTACCTGGAGAATTTGTGGAATGAATAGATAAGGAGTATTCTTTCAAATCCATACCTTCTCTTTAGAGAGTAAGAGGGAAAACAGCCAAAAAAAAAAAAAAAAAAGACTCTCAGTATTTTTGGTAAAGATAATGCTTGCTGGTTTAATATGCCTTAAAAATCAAGTTCTTATTTTATAGTGGGTCTTGATGTAGTGATTTGCCTCTAGCAGCTTATTTTAATATAGTCAGATTTGAATATTCAGATATGAAACTAAGAAAAGTGCATTAATGTTAATTTTATTTACAAATTTTTTATTGTAGGAATTTGAAGATAACTTTGATGATGAGATAGATTTTACACCTCCAGCAGAAGATACTCCCTCTGTTCAGTCTCCAGCAGAAGTGTTTACTCTTTCAGTTCCCAGTATTGCTGTACCAACTCCGTCCCAGTTTCCACATCTTTCAGGTAACACAGGCTTCCTCAATAAGAAAATAAAAGTAGGTAATTCAGTGTCTAAAATAGTGTAGAATTGACTGTGCTTGGCTCTTTGCTACATGGATCCAATTACAATTTATTTCAATTAACAAATACTTTTTTTAGGGTTTAAGATGAGATGTAATTCTTTGAAAATCTACGAACTGATGGCAAGATGTCCCAAAAGGTAGCTTGAGAAAACGAAAATGGGTTATATAAACTTCTCTAGACTACGTTCTTGATGCATCTATATACTTTAAGGGTTTGAAGTGCTCTAGGACATTTGTGTCTTCCTAGCTGGGTCTCATTGGGTTTTAGCCATTGGCCTTAAATGGAAGCAAGAGGGAATCTCTTGTATGACAACTGTGCTACTGTTTCAGGTGAATCACTTTCTTAATGTCACCATCAACTTTCCATGTCATTAATGTGATACTGGTATGAGAGGACATTAGATTAATAAGGGTTTGAAGTGCTCTAGGACATTTGTGTCTTCCTAGCTGGGTCTCATTGGGTTTTAGCCATTGGCCTTAAATGGAAGCAAGAGGGAATCTCTTGTATGACAACTGTGCTACTGTTTCAGGTGAATCACTTTCTTAATGTCACCATCAACTTTCCATGTCATTAATGTGATACTGGTATGAGAGGACATTAGATTTCTTCTGCCTGTGCAAAATAAGCTTTTTGGGATGTATTTTTGAAAAGGCAAGGTTTCTGTAAAAGGAAACAGAAATATCTAAACTATTACAGCATAAAGTAGCTGTTTGCATATGATAACTTCATATGCCATCTTTACCTGTCCTACTTGCATTACATAATCATTAGATTTTCAGAGATGAAACAATTAAATTTGCAGTAGCTAGTAGCAATTTTACATGTCACCCTGTCTTGTAATACCAAAGAAATGTAACTCACCAGTGTTTTAATGACTGAGAAAAATGCAAGTTGTGAAAAATTGTATCTTGTGTCAGTTCTTCTATAATGATATATAATTGGTAAAACTGTACTTTTATCATGATACATTATTTTGCTTGGAAGCAATTGAGTAAGATACACTGGTAAAAGTGTAGTTTTACTGATACAGCATTATGCATACTTAGGAGCATGTTGACAGTGTGTTATTGTGGCTATAGCTGTTATGGTAAAATAATCCTGATGTAAACCTGGTTTGTGGTAGTAAAAGCATGGCCTAGGATTCTCAGTCTGGACCAACTAAAAAGATGATGGATTTTTTTTTTTTTTTTTTTGCATGTCTGTTAAATGAACTTTTTTACAGGTGTTGTAAAGTGCCATCAGTTAACCTGTTAACCTGTGAAATAAGAGATGCACAAATATGAGATATTCTGGAGAGGCTGGCGGTGGTGGGAACCTGTTTTATCATACAGAGTCTACCATTAGTACTGCTTATTCTCTACCAGGATCCTGTTGTGTGTTGTTTTTGTTATTGCTGTTATTATTATTATTATTTGCCTTTCTGGACTCTTTATGTGAAGCATTTTTAGTCAGAAAATGTCCTCCTTTCAGAGGGTATCTATAAGTAGGGCAGTTGGGCTGAAGAGTAAAGCAGTAGAAACCATTTCTCTAAGAATGATAATTCTCTATATAGCTATAAATGTTAAAATGCAAAAACAATGGGTGCTGTTGGGTTTGTTCTCTTGTGTAGGACACTTTTGTAAGCAGGTCGTTTATTATACCCAACTATGGTAAACAATATACTTGTGTACGGGGTTTAAAATTCAGCCATTTGCTCTCACTGAACATTTTAAAAAAAGTTTATGTATCGTATGATGAGACACCCTGCCCTTTTGTAGGGGGATGTTCTGAAGCAGGTTGTTCAGAGGCTGAGAAATCTTTTTTGAGTGTTTTTTCATTGTTACATGAGTATTTTATGCATGTCTGAGTATGTTGCAGTGGTTAGCCAAAGGTACGCGTGCAATTGTGGAGAGATGTAGGAGCTTGCGTTATAATGTTCATCAGTTGTAGGGATAACTTTGTGCATCTGAATAGTTTTGAGTTTTTCTTTCTATTTGTTGTTGTGTATGACAGAGGGATCAAAGTCTCAAGTTTCTCGTCAGAGTCTAAACTATATCCAAGAAATTGGAAATGGCTGGTTTGGAAAGGTGAGATGTTCTCCTTTTAATGCTGTAGTATTGTAGTACTACTTAGTTTAACTAGGCAGTCTACTGTGTTTCCATTAAATGATTTTAATAGCGTAAGAACAACTCTGGTAGAAATTAAATGTTGCATGCATTTTTTAGCTTTGAGTGCTTTTTTAATTTACTTGAAGTTTCTTAGCAGAGTTACTTAATTGCCTGACATTTAATTCAATCGACAGGAGTGAAAACATTGCTGTTATTACCAGTTTTTCCTCAGGGAAAAATCTTAAACAAATAAATGGTCTTCACTAGAAAGCTTGCTTTTTGAAAATTGCTCCACAAGTCAAGATTTATTTTAAAGTACGAGTGTTTAATTATCAAAATTTTACATGCATTGACAAAAGAGACAGAAAATATTTTTTACAACACATATATAGTAGCTCTTGTTTTTCTTTGTAGCAACTCAGATTAACCCTTTGATTAAAGAAAAGTGGTTCTAATTTTTCAGGTTCTGCTTGGAGAGATCTACACAGGTACTAGTGTAGCACGAGTAGTAGTGAAGGAGTTGAAGGCAAGTGCGGGTCCCAAGGAACAAGAACAGTTCTTAAGAAGCGGAGAACCATATTAGTAAGTAATATTCAATAGCTGGGTTAACTTGAATGCCTCATGCTACTGTATCAGTTAGGAAAATGTTTGGCTCAGGTTATTTTCTGTTTCTGTCCTCTCTTGTAAATTAATTGATTGTACTTGTAAATTAATTGATTGTACTTGGATTAATTGTATTTCCTTTCTAAAAGTGAGCAAAAAATTTTTGCTTAAGAAAACGAGAAAAAAGCTCTTCAATTTAATGTATTTTGGAGTCTTTATTTGTGACTGTAAAATACATTTGATTTGACTTATTATTCTTCTCAGCATTTCCAGGCAAAAGCTCATGATACTGTGCACTGACTTTTTGTCTAGTTACTTGTTTCCAGTAACTGAGATTTGATTTCTGGTATTTGTATATTCTATTAAAAATGTGAAACCTGGCAAGACCCTCATCTGATACATATTGCTTTCTTTAAAGTTCCTATTTTCAAAATAGAACTGCATCATGTTGGTAAAAATGGATTTTGTTCAGGTTACTTACAGGGAAGACTTGTCTTAATAATGAAAAGGAATTTAGGATTATACAAAATTGGATTCAGTGGTAATCCATAGTCCACAAAGTGTTGGTCAGACCAGAAATGCTGATAAGGTTGGAATTGTTTGTTCTTTTTCTCCTTTTGTATTATGGTTGGAGGGCACTCAAAAGCACGTGCCTCTAGGGCATTAGTCTTGGTATACCAGAAAGGACTTTGGTATATTAAGGAGAATGCAATTCCTCCTGTTATGTTTTAGCAATAGAAGAGCTTTGCACTGCTGCCTGCTGCACGCTGGTGCTTTCTGTAGATGACTGGTATAGAGGGGTGCACCAGTTGTCCCTCAGGGTAGCTTACACTGCCTGAATATGGTACAAGTGAGTGGTGTCGGAGCTTTCTACATTCAGTGCTTATTGCTGTCCTACTTGCACCTGCACTTGGGTTTCAATTGTTGGCAATTGTCAGGAAAAGCAGTCTCAAGCCTCCTGCTGCCTTGACAATAAGGGTTTCTGATTTAGAAAAAAAAAAAAAAAAGCTGCTCTTTCTGGAAACTAAACCTGGCTAAAAAGTTTAGTTTTTTCCTGGTTTGCTCCCCTAGTGAAGTTCACAAACCAGTAGCATGTGTGAATGCTTGTGTGTAAGGGACAGTGGAGCGGGGAGAACAGTTGCAACTCTTTTGGCAATGCTGGCTTACAAGGTTTTGAGAGTTTTTTTTCAGCTGCTGTCTTGCAGATTTCAGCAATACAAAGGAGATGTAAAGGTGCAAAGGGAATTTGTGTCTGTGGATATTTGTACCTTCTCCTTCTGTCCCATATGTACTGAATCTTCCAGGAGAGATCTCATATGTTGCATTACATTGTAAAGGTATACTGTAGTCCTTCTGACTTAAACCACCACTATGTTTTTTTCTGTGCAGCATTCTTCAGCATCCAAATGTTCTCCAGTGTATTGGGCAGTGTGTGGAAGCCATTCCTTATCTTCTAGTTTTTGAGTTCTGTGACTTGGTAAGTACACTTGCAGAAAAGGCTGCAGCGGGCTTTGCCTGTGTGAATTGTAGGTAGTGTATTTATTGCCCTTCACTCATCATTGTCCTGGTGATTTTTGGCATGATCCTATTCTCTTCCTGATCCCCAGGTCCCCTCCCCCCACTGCCACTACCACCCCCTCATCCTCCTTTTCCCTTGGCCCCTGTTTGGATGAAGCAACTGCCTTCCTGAGCCCTGGATGAAATGCTAAGTGCTCTGGGAAGGCTTTTTCATGGCTTTTCCACTGTTAGCACTATAAAAGCCACCAGAGATGGGAAGGGAAGTTGCACAACACTTTGCTCAGCCCCTTGCAGTCCTGGGCCTGTGCTGAATTTCACCTCGTCTTTGTGAGTGAGGCCACATGCACGTGCAGAAACTTTGGACTGTGCCCAGTACACACAGTCTTCAGACACTTTAGCTCTTGGAATCTATCAAGTCTCCACTGAATGTTTGCAGGCAGATTTGAAAGTTTGGATATGGCAATGGATCCAGGGTCTGGAAAAACTTGATGCTGCAGTAAAGCAGTTCTTTATGTGGTATTAAAAGAAAAACAATCCCCAGCTTCAGGTGGCTCTCTGAGCATGTGCTGAATCGCTGCTGTTAACGTGTGTGTCATTGTCTAGATGGCATTTAAAGCAGAGTTTATTTATAGAGTTTGAGATAAATGAATTAACGTGCATATATATTAAAGTTTAAGATTTTTCAGTAGTAGTTTGCATTTATCAGATTCAACATGATCCTTTTTTCAGCTTTATTACTACAGGATTTTCTCTTAAGTGTGTGAATATGGTTCCAGTTATATTAATTGCCTCAAGCAATTTAAATGAGAATGAGCAAGAACTGAGTTTTATTGAGAATATCAGTTAATGTGCCCTTAAATAACTGTATTCTCTCTGTTACTGCTCTTGCTCAAACTTACTAGCTGCAGTAAATTAATGAGGCAGAAGAAGTGCTGATAGAATCATTCTCTCTCCCCTCCCCCCCACACATGGAAGAGAGGCTTGAACTTTTCAAGTGACTCATCAAAGTGAAATGTTCAGTTCTGGGCAAGAATTAGAAAATACATGCCTAAGGTTAAGCCAATAACATTCTTGATATTTTTCAGTTTGCATAAATGGAATAGGTCATATTGATTTTAAATCTTCTTTCTTTTTCCAAAAAGTTTGAAGTTCAGAAGGATTCTAGAACAACTTCATTTTATATAGTTTATGCTAATAGATATACATCTAAATATTTAATCAGATTCAACTACTGGCATATTTTTAAATAGTTGTTATTTAATCTGACTTAGAATTTAAAGATGGAGCAACTTCTAAAGATTGCCCTACTTTAGGCATACAGAAAATTAATATCCTTGTTGGATGCCTGATGATTAATGCCAAAAATGTCATGATCCTGCAAAGTAATCTAGAAAGGATTTTACTTAAGGGGATGAAACAGATTTTCACTAACTGGGGGCAGTAAGCTTGACAGCTGAAGTGGTAGTTCTTAAAAATTTGAATGTAGCTGGACAGTCTCATGGGTATGGGAAATAAATGCCTGTGCTGATTTCTACTGTGAGCAAACTAAAGCTTGTTTTTGGGAAAAAAAAAAAATTACTAAGATACAGTTAAACATGGCTTGTCTAACGTTTCATACTGGAAGTCTGAATTATTTGAAGAGTTCCTATTTGGTAGATTTGGACCTCACCTAGAGATGGTGGTGTTTTTGTTCACTGTTCTCACAAATATACAGAGGCTAGACACACAAAATAGTGTTCACTTTAATAGCCTTATGCAGAGATTGGGAGACAAGGGGATGACAAAGTTAGCTCAGTACTTGTGTGTGTCACTAATGTTGTTGTAAATTAGCGTGAACTAGTGCGGGAAGTACCAATACTGGAGTGAGGGCAGAAGAGAGGTGTGAAGGAAGAAATGTGTGTGAAGCTGGACAGAAGCATTTGGAATAGAAGGTAACTAGGTGTCCTTTTAAAGAGGCAGTTCATAGACTGATAACTCTGAAAACTGCTTTCACCCTGTGAACTGGGGTGGCAGTTACTGCTTGAATTTTTCAAGGCATGAGAAAATAGCAGTGAGAAATAGTGGGTTCTGCTCTACTTCTCTTGGAAATCAGCTAATGCTGGAGATATTGAGGTGCTTCCATAACACACCTTCAGTCCAGTGTTAGCCAGAAGGTGTGTAGGCACAGACTCAGCTGGAGCGGCTCACTGTAGCCTCTCATGTCTCTGATGTATGTTGTTCAAATGGAAGGATAGCTTTATACGTATGTTCAACAAAGAATAAACTTGCTTTAATCTCTGGTACTTACGTGATTAAGATGATGGTTTGTGAAAAGGTGGCTAATGTGCCAGCTGTGCTTGAGAAGACATTCTCATGTCTTTGGAGCACTTTCAGGCCCCTTCACAGTGTAGACGCCTCAAGTTTGGAGTATTAAATAATGAAAATATGGTTCCTCTTCTGCAAAGAGACTAGAGATGAGGTACCTGTTCATGTCAGGCTCCTCCAGATTTGTCATGTCACTGCACCCCCTTGGCAGCGTCATCTCTTAGCCTCTGCAGGGACATTTGACCTGCTCTCAGCTGCTCAGCAGCCCTCTTGGATCTCGGGCCTCTTGGCCTAAAAGGTCTTGCCAGAGGCAATGCAAACTGTATTGCTGAGTGTCCCCGTAGCAACACTGAATGTCATGGGGGCTCACTTGTTTTCTTGGATCTTTCTGATATTCAGGCTTGCTCGAGTGTTCATTATTAACAATATTTGCTACCATTTAGCCTATCTTATAATATAATCCAGGTTGCTCTGTCCCTTGCTTTGCAAAGGTGGTCAGTTGCACATGAGTAATTATAACATTCAAATCTTTATTTTTATTTGCCTGTTTTTCAAAACTGTTTACAATTCTTCAAATATAAAAGAAATCTCAATAAGTTCTTAATCCTGTGTGAGTTTTAGTCTGTTGCTGTAGCTTTCTATGAATAGATAACTGTCCACTGCTAAACACTGTAGGCTGGTGCCAGGTTAAAAATAGTAGTAGCAGCTAACTTGTTAACTTGAATATATTACCCAGCCATGTGTGGCCAACCTTTTGTCAGCACAGCAAATCGTTTAATGGAATGACATAATTTATGAGTAAAAGTTATTCGAATGTGGAAGTAGCATGTACATTGTGTGGCTGATTCGCCTGTCAAATTGGTCTTACAGAAATTCTTTAAGGCTTTTAATTCCCTGAGCAGAGGAGGTCGTCAGGATGCAAGATTTGCTTAAAATGCTCTGTAGCTTACATTGAGGATGTGGCTTTTGCTAGGAGGTGCTTGCCAGCTGGAGCTAGTTTATAACTTCTTTAGTTTAGGCTCCTTCTAATTACTGCCACATGAAACCATTATCTTCAAATCAAAAAGTCTTTGCAATGAAAACTTCTTAACCAGAGTTAAAAATCTGTTTAAAAAAAAAAAAAAAAAAGTCTTAGGCTTTGGGGGGGGTTTTTTTTTTTTTTTTAAAAAAAAAAAAAACCTTGGATTTGAAGACAAGTTTAATGTTTCTTGAACTCTAACATATGCTAACCATTTTTTAATGGCAATATGACCCTTGCACCAAAATGTCTGATAGTGCATTGAATAACCACAATTACTTACACAGTGAAGTATATTGGCTAGAAGGAAGGGAGTTTTTATTTGCCTGAAAACTTCAGAAGGGGCAGTGATGTTACTGAGTAACCTGGCAGGTAACTTTCCAACTTTCTAGCAAGGTTTCAGTGGCCTGAGTCACTTGTCAGCTCTTCCTGTTTGCTTGGGGTGTTCTTATGGGACTAAGCATGGAATTTGCACAATCGAGAAAACTGCAAGAATATGGCACATAAGTGTCCCAGGCCTCTGACTTGTGGAGAAAAAAAAAAGCCTCTCTGATTTAAAAGACTTGGTTACAAAGAGGGCTGGTCTTGCTGAGACCTGGGTGGGAGGGGGGAGTGAGGAGGCCAGATCCAGTCGCTGTTCGGAGTCCCAGGAGAGAGGAAGGGAACTAGGAGAGAAAGTGGAGCTTCCCTCAAGCACCAGTGCGCATGGCGTGTGCTTAAGTGTCTGAGCAGTGGATTTTGCAGAATGGATTTTATTGGGCTGTGTGTATATACAGCCTTCCACAGTGACTGTTAGACGTAGTACAATCTAGGGCCATTTTCTGGCTCATGGTGTATTGCTGCTATCTGCTTATAGACAGAGAAGGATCATAGAATAACACAGGCTGCAGGGCTGCTCGGAAGGTCTCTAGTCCAAACTGCTGCTCCAAGCAGGGTCACCTGGCTGTCAGGCCAGGTTCCTTAGGGCTTTCTCCAGTCGGGTCCTGAATGTCTCTGAGGATGGAGGTGGCAGAGCCGCTCTGGGCAGCCTGTTCCACTGCTCGTGTGTCCTCACGGGGAAGAGGCTTTCCCTAAGTTCACCCAGAGCCTCTCCTGGTTCAGCTTGTGCCTCTTGTCTCTGCTCCAGCACCAAGCACCGCAGCAAAGAGCCCGGCTGGACTCCTTGAAACCCTCCCGTGGGTCCCGAGTGGCTGCGCTGCGGTGCCCCTGACCCTTCCCCGCTGCGGAGGTCCCCGGGTCCCTCAGCCTCAGCTCGCGGGGCGGTGCTCCAGGCCTGGCCTCTCCGTGGCCCTCCGTGACTCGTGGCAGTGTCCGTGTTAGGGAGCCAAGACCCGGGGGGGCCTAGTTTAGCGTGCCAGGAAAAGGTGATGATCCGTCTCCGCACCTTTTGATGGGGCAAGTCGGCCCCAGCCTGTGCTGTTGCAAAGGTTTTCTCCCTCCCACGTATAAGACTTTGTCCGTGCTGAATTTCATGAGGCTCCTTTTGGCCCATCTCTCTAGTCTTTCTAGGTCCCTCCTAGTGGCAGCCCAGGCCTCGAGTGTAGCTAGTCACCTCAGTTGGGCATAAGCTGTGCTCTTAAAACAATACCAAAATAAAGTCTTTGTTAATGCCCCTTCTGATTGTTTTGTGGCAAAAAAGGCAAAACAGAACAAATATATTTTAAGATCCTGGATTTAATACAAACCGTATTTCGTATTAGCAACTTGCCTATGTGAATTATATACTAAATAAGGGATGCTGCATAGCACTGCTATTACTAATGCATTTAAAAATTAAAAAGCAATTCCTTGGTGCATTTCAGGCATTCTAGGAGCTTAATCCACTAGGACTAACCATAAATAACCACTTGCTGTTTTAATGAATGACAGCAGTTTCGCAGGGGTTGGTTGGACTTTCTTCAGGAACTTGCTGCCACCTACAGTCAGTTGAGCAATATGCGCTGTACTTGTTTGTACTCGTTAGGCTGTGCCGTGGGGAATCTGTGTGTCCTCTGGACACTTCTGGATAATTACATGTGATGTTGATTTTTTTTTTTTTAATTTTAATCTATTTAGGAGTAGTGTCTGCTTTTGTTAAGCAACTGTTATTGGCTCATTTTATTAACCAAAACTAAAATTTGGGAATATCCAGTCAGTTACTTGAGCTGCCACATCACTGACATTGAAACACCTCACACAAACATCTACTTGAATAGAGAACACTAAATTGTCGCCTTCAGGTTACCACATCGTGTAGGAATTGAGATGCTTCAGTTAGAGTTTTATAATACATGTGTATTATAGTTTTATAAAACAGCTTGCACCAGAGGAATAGGAAACTTAATCTTCAGTTCTTTCCTGAAGATGAAAACACTTTAGCAAGTGCAAATACTTCTATTTATATTCTATTTATGAATATACTAATCTTGTTGATTAATTTTCAAATACTGTGGTTAGTTGGTTCTTCATTAAATATACATTTTTTTTTTATTCAGTGAGCATACAAGACTGATATTTTCAACTTCTTTTACAGGGTGACCTAAAAACTTATATCTGCAATGAGCAGGAACATATTAAAGGAGAATCACAAATCATGCTGCTACAGAGAATGGCATGCGAGATTGCTGCTGGACTTGCTGTAATGCATAAACATAATTTTGTGCATAGGTATGCTTTCCAGACTGCTTTTTTTGTTATGGTGCCCTCTCATGCACACTTATTTTAGTGAAAAGAATCTACATGAATTTTAAAGATGGTGCTTTAGGCAGACTTTTGTCTAATTTTACATAAGTCATGAAAGTATGTTTATTGAGATGTTAATTTAACTGCAGTAATGTATCTACAACTCTTCTCTGTTCAAAAGTCAATTACTTGCTACTTAGTTTTGCAGCCCATAGATCACAACCTGCAGCTTAGCCAATCTAAGAAGTGTAGTTGTACAGCAAATATTTGGACCAGTTAAGTATGTGGTTTGTGTGGATAGGTTTTTTATGTGTGTGTATGTATGTTACTATAATGACAACTTTTCAAAAGTGCAAAATACTGTAATGACAATCTTGCAGTATTTCAGCTCATTGATTTTTAAGGACTAGTAACTGTTCAGGCTGATATATTGAGCAAGAAATTTCAGAATGTTGTCATTAATATTTTGCAAAAGGCTCATGAGTAATGCTTGTTTAAATCTTGAAGATGATACCATAATTCTTCAAGGTATCATATAGTAAATTGTTAAGTATTTGTCCCTGAAGTGAGTTATTGATACTTCTTGCTTATGACAACAACAGGTTTTAGGTAAAGACGAATTCACATTGCTCTAGTATGTGAACAGTCTAAGTAGATTGTTACAGAATGTTACAGTAGAGGTTATAGGATTATTAGTAGAATGAAAGTTTTGCATGCAGTTCTTCGTGTAGGTAGAGTGCTCATGAACATATTTGGCAATTGTAGAGAAGGGAAATAACTGCATGTTGAGGTTCTCTACAGAGAGCAGCAAGGTTATATGAGGCTTTGAAAAGTATTCTTTCATCCTGTTGTACAATTGTTGAATCATGCTAATGTCATCAACTGATGTGAAGTCGCTTTCTAATATTTTTGGTTTTGTATGAAGGTTTTATAAGTCATCTTGTCACTAGGTCTAGCAACATTGTTGTATATTGATTCCAGAACATAGATTTTGCTTGACTGTGTGGCTCCAAATTGATTCAGTTTTGGAAATGTGGGAGAGCTGTAGACAAATGCAATCCTGTGACTAACCTTGTCTCATTAAAACTACTGTGAGGAGAGACTCCTAGATCACTCCTCTTTTATCTAGTAGTGGTAAATCTTTAGAAAAGTGCTCTCTACAGTATTGAAGTGAGAGACTAGATCTAATGTAAGCTGAAATGGATTTTAAAACCTAATGAAAACATAAGCAGCAAAAGAAGTATCTTAACATTTAGTCATGTCAAAAATTTATTTCTGAAATGAATTTCTCAACTGACCCAGCTACTGTGCCTGCGTTTGCATTTTGAATTGGTCTGTTAGTCTGGTCTGTGATGCCAGGCTAGACCTCATCTGAATAAACCCCTCATAAATGCATATAGTGGATGTTGAATCTATAGCATAAGTTTCATATTACTGGTCTGCTCCAATCATGGTCTGCTATTTGCTAATATAACTTCTAAATATGTAAATATGCATTTTACATACACACACACCCACTTAGAATTTTGGTGGCTTTTGTGTTGATACTTCAAGCTGTTTTTTAGCTTTGTTCCAAAAAGTTTCACTAACATGTTAACCCAAGTGTCTTATTTTGGATTGAAGATTTTTTCTTTCTTTGCTCTCACTATATTTTGGGATTTCTTTTTTTTTCCCCCCCCTCCAGTGACTTGGCCTTGCGGAATTGCTTTCTTACATCCGATTTAAATGTCAAAGTAGGAGATTATGGTATAGGATTCAGTAGGTACAAGGTAGGTAACGTAGTCATCATACTTTGAAGGATTTGGGACCTAAAGTTAAAACAAAAATGCAATAAGGTTATGAACTGATATTAGATCATCCTTAATCCAAGAACAGAATTTTTAAGGCATGACTGGAAAATAACTGTAGCAAGTTTCTGTAGCAGAATATATAATCTTCCTGGAAATTAGTGTATTCTGTGCCTCTAGAAGGAAGTTTCTGCTTAAGCTTATATTTATACCTAAAACTTCCAGTATTCCTAAAATAGTAATGGCAAGCATTATGCAGAAGTTACTTTCAATGATTTTTTTAAAAGGAAAAAGTTAATCAAAAATTAGTAATGAAAATTTTTAACATATGTATATATATGCATCAAGAAAGTTCAAAATTCAAAATGCTGAAAATGATTTTATTGGCCAAACACTAAAGAAGTGGACATTCTTTTTTTTTTTTTTTTTTTTTTCTAGTATATACTGAACAGTGACAGGCCCTTCCTATGTAGTGTTAATATCTGCCACTTGAAAAAAACAGAATTAATTTCTTTAGGTGCACGCAGAAATTACACAAAATGATTAATTTGGGGAGGGGAAAAAAAGAGGGGGGGGAGGAATGCCAGTTTCTGGAATTTGGTGCAATGTTAATTTTTCTGGTTATTCTTTTAATAATAACATAGGAAGATTATATTGAGACAGAGGAGAAGAAACTTGTCCCTCTTCGATGGACTGCACCTGAATTAGTAACAAGCTTTCAAGACAGGCTGTTATCAGCAGAGCAAAACAAGTACAGCAACATATGGTATGTAGTAGGCTTTAAAATAACTTGAGCAAGAAATCTGGGAATACACTTAGAAATGTTATACTAAAAACAGTAAATATTTAATTATAAATTGAATGCATTCAATTATAAATTGAAAACACTGCTTGTTATTTTAGCAGTCATGTAGTAGATCAATCTCTAAAATCTGAAGCAATATTCTCTCGTGGAAATATACTTAACATTCTTTTAAGAGATCAATTACATATACAGTTACATTACATGCTTAAGTACTGCAGCAAAGATTGTTTTGTTTTTCTAGTGAATTGAAATGGCCTGTGTTTTCTGATCAAAGTTCAGAAACTAGTGGGCTTACTGTAACTTTCCTTTTTCTTAAATATGCATTTGCTGAATTGATTTTTTTAATACGTGGAAATTTCTTCATTGCTCAGTCGTTTGAGGCGTGTAGTTTTTGTCACCTTCAGGGAACTGTGTTCTTGAAGTTTCTACCATTCTGGGCAAAGCATCTGAAGTGAGTTTACAAGCTCTGAAGTTACTGTGGAGTCAGTAGGAAAGTGGTTATTTGTTCCATGTTGGCAATTATGCCTCTTATAATCCTTTCTTAGCAAAGCAAATGGAAAACAGTCTTTAGAATGTAAATGTCCTACCATATGCTCTTCTTTTTCAGGTCACTGGGTGTGACACTGTGGGAGCTTTTTGAAAATGCTGCTCAGCCTTATTCAGACTTCTCTGACAGGGAGGTCCTTCTCCATGTCATAAAGGAGAAGCAGGTTAAACTCTTCAAGCCACATCTGGAACAGCCATACTCTGATAGATGGTAATTCTTTTTATTCATTCTTAAAGCTGAACAAGTTTCTCAGGTTGCGTAGTAATCTTAGAAATACATTAAAATTGCTGCATGAAACTGTGCTCCTGGAAAAGAAACCCTAGATAAACATAAAGAGTTGGTGTGGGTAGAAATTCATGCTAGTAATGCTAGTAGCCACTCTTTGCTTCATTACATATCTGATTCTTATGCATTTGTTTTTCGTGTGGAGCCTATTGAAACATGTTCCTTCTTTGTATAGGTATGAAGTTCTGCAGTTCTGCTGGCTACCTCCAGAAAAGCGACCAACAGCAGAAGAAGTGCATAGACTTTTAACCTACCTTCGCATGCAAAGCCAAAGGGACTCTGAGATTGATTTTGAGCAGCAGTGGAATGCTCTTAAACCAAATGCCTCAAATAGAGAAGCAAATAATTCTGCATTTCCAATCTTGGATCACTTTACAGGAGATAGACTTGGCCATGAAATGGAAGAAGTTCTTACTGTAACTGAAACAAGCCAGGGTCTCAGCTTTGAATACATCTGGGAGGCAGCTAAGCATGACCATTTCGATGAGTGTGGTCATGTGAATCCTGATGACTCAATGACATACACAAATATTTTCTATCCCGTGGAGGTTTTTGAGAGGTCCCTTTCAGAGCAAGGGCCAGGAGCACAAGATGAAAGCGGTCAGGAAACATCCCTTGCTGTCCCTGGGGTGTTACCTGTGTTTGATGCTCACAAGCTCTCTGTTGGAAGTGATTACTATATTCAGTTAGAGGAGAAAGGTAGCGGCTGCAGCATGAGTTTTGATAATCAGTCAGTTGTGCTAACTACAGAACTTGATCATCAAGAAACTCTACAAGACAAAAATTCTCATTTCATGGTTCTCAGGGATCTTGATGTTGAAGAATCCAGCACCGATGGGGATTTCTTTCACTATAATACAGATCCTAAAGAGGAAATTTTGCCTGCTGCTGGTAGTCCAGAAAGTCCTTTCCAGAATATTTTCAGTGAAGTGGACAGATCAAAAGAGTTGATGCACAGAAGTATATTTGGCTTAGCTGAAATGAACGATATTTCTAAAGACTTTAAGCCAACTGCTTTAAACTCCAACGTGGGCATTATAAACACAGTAAGCCCTTCTGAGAAAGAGCATTCTAGTTGTGCTTCCGAAAGTGAAACTCTCCTCTTGTGTGATAATATCTCTAACCAGTCTCGCCTGGTAACTTTAGAAGAACTCTCTGAAAACTACTTATTTCTGCAAGAGAAGAAGTTATTAACGGGGATACTGGCTAACAAAACCAGCAGTGATCTGGGGCAAAAAACAGAAGCTATTCTAAAAAGTATATTAGAAAGCTCGAATAGGAACTCTGTAGAGCCTGCACCTATGTTGGCTGAAAATGCACCTGTCTTTTCTTTAATATCTGAAAATCTTAAACCTGTGAAAGATGAAAATTTTAACCCAATGACAATAAATAAAGATTTGAATTATCACACTGAGACTTCTGCAGAGATTCTGGCACCTTCTAGTCCATCTGTACCACGTAAGTCATGCGATAATCATGTAAATCCTTCCTATTTGAAGGATGAGGGAAAACAGTTAAATGTGGAAGTCGGTGAAGTCATGCCCTCTAATACTGACAGTCTCTGTCAAGAAGACCTTTCCAATAATGCCAAAAATCATAATATTGGAAACAAACCATCTTATGGTATTGCATTGGAAATGGAGTGTGAGGGACAAATAAAACCTGAAATGCTAATTAATTCTGATGAAATAACTTTAAGTAGTATTGGTAGAGACAAATGTAATGATCAAGAAGATAGGAAAAAAAACTTGCAAAACAAGTCACCAATTTTAAAAAAAGATGAAGATTTATTGGAGGAAAGACAAGATATATCTAGTCATTTTCAGAACTGTAAAGATGTTACTGAAGAGGTGACCTTAACTTCTGTTGTTACTTCAGATTGTACAAGTCAGGATAGTCTCTTGGAAGATGGCGCCTCTCCTACACAAACTGTAGAGCAAGCCTTAGAAACACCTGACTCTTTGGATTCTTTAGATGTAAATGAGGTTTTAGAATCTTTACAGACCCAGAGTCCTCAAAAACTTTTGCCTCCTGATAAACCTGCAGACAGTGGCTATGAAACAGAGAACCTGGAGTCGCCAGAATGGACTTCCCATATCACGGTTGAGGATGGTTCTAATGCAGATACTGCGTTGGGTACTGTCAGTGACAGCAATGTTAGTGCTTTATCTCCTAATCCGGTTATAATTGTCTCAGAAGTAGCTTGTGTAGATGCAGTAAACAGCAATTTTGAAATAACCCCAAATATTTTTGTAAATGGAAATCAAAATTCATATAGAGACTCTGCCTATTTCTCTGATAACGATTCTGAGCCAGATAAAAAAACAGAAGAGGCTGTAAATCTAACAAGAGAGGCCGCAAATGTTGTTTCTTCAAACAGAGAAGAAAATAATACTGAGGATTACTGTTCTGAAGAGATAGAGCAAAAGCATGATCTGAGAAATTACCAGGATACTAATAATCAAAATGCAAAATTAGAATTAAATCACGAGCTAGAGATGCAAGAGACAGATGTAACAATACAGGGGCATCCTGACAAGTGGGCTGAGGCAATGATGAATTCCTTGAAAAAATCAGTGGAAAGTAACTTCAGGAATGAAATAAAATCGTTTAATGCTTCCCACAAAAGTGTCTCTTGTGTTGGCACCAACACGTCAGAACTTTTTTCACACAGAGACCTTAAGTCAGTACATGATATGCAGAGTCCTTCAGATGCAAGCAACAGTGAGAAGTCCTTCTATCACCTTGAAGGTTCAAAACTGAAAGAACCAGACATTGAAGGAAAATACCTTGGCAAACTCGATGTTTCTGGAATGCTAGATATAGAAGATGGTGATGATGCAGATGAAGAAGACGAAAACAGTGATTCTGAGGATGATATGAGGACTTTTCATATGCACAGTCTGAGTTCTGACAGTGAAGATGAAATTGTTCATCAAGTACCTGAGATACTTAGTGACAAGGATGATGGGAAACATCTGAGAAGCTTGCTGAAACTTCCAAAATCTCCTACAAATGAAAGTCAACTTGAGCATTGGAAAAATGAGAAAAAGGCTGTAACATTCTTCGATGATGTAACAGTCTATCTGTTTGATCAGGTATCGTGTATCTTTTTAATTACTAAGTTACCTTTTTTAAACAAGTCATGCTGAAATAGCGTGATGTTTATAGCTACCTTGTCATAAAGATCACCTTTGTTTTTGTCTTGACAAGGTTGTCTTGTGTGAGGTAGGTTCTTTTTTAAGAAAGCAAACTTCTGAGAAAAAAATCGACCCCTTTTTTTTTTTAACTTAGCTACAGTTGTGTGCTGATGGAAGAATAGCACTAACTGAAAATGAAATCTGATTTTGCTTGGGGATGGGTGTTTGGCAAGTGCTAAACCTACGCTGCTTCTAGAATTTTGTCATGTACAGTCTGAAACCTACTCTTGAAAAATGTCATTCTAGTGCGATTCAGAGCTGCATTTAAGTCAACATCATTACGCACCAAATACAATTTTACTGACCAAATGTTCATTTAACCTTAGCTTATCTGCTTAAAGACTTCAAGGGCTTTGAATATTTTAGTTCAAATATCTTTATAAAAAGTAGTAAACAAACAAAAAACCTTACGTTGCTTAGCATTAAGATAATGTTTGTCTACTTGCTTTATCAATTTTAAACCTCGTTAACTTGATACAGAGTACTGTGTTTTAACATTGTGGCAGTTAGACGAGTTAAGTGAGTTGAAAAGAACAGTCACATTGTCAGGCTTTGAAGATGCTGCTTATGATGCATATAAATACTAGGGGTCATTGTGTCTTGGAACAGAAAACAAATATTAGGAGTTCTTTTTGCCTCTGTAGAACAGTAATCCCTTTATTGGAGGGGAAGGCAAAAATTAGCCGTTGTGTTAAGGTGCTCATAGTTCAGCTCTTGCTTATTGTTGTAGTAACTGATAAAATGTTGACTTTGTCAAATTCCAGTCACACAAATTGTGTCTTGTCTCTATCCTTAAGGAGGATTACCTGGCCAAAAACAAACAAAAAAAAAGCTGTGAGATAGAACCGCCCAAGTTCATTCTTTGTGTGTGTTTGTGTGGTGGTTTTTTGTTTGCTTTTTTTGTTTTTATTTATTTAATAGAAACTAACTATCTGTGACAGGCTGGTTAGAGAACTATTTTTTGTTTATTTGGAAAATATTTTAGCTGTATTCCTTTAAACTTTTTGATATTATAAATAACAGTCATTTCTTGCATGTACTTTAATGTAGATGTGATATAACTTATGTGGAAAGTAGTGTTTTATATGCTTAGTTTACAAGTCTCAGTTCTGTTGTACACCAATTATTAGCATACAGTAGATTCTTGCAGACGATTTAATTCCATAAATTTGATGGAAATAAAGTGTTTTTCTAACCCTGATATCCAGCTGTATGTGCACATTGTGCATACACAAGTGTTGAATTATTTTTGTTGCCTTAGGAAACACCAACTAAAGAGCTGGGAAACCGTGTGACAGACTTGACCAACCAGGGCTCCGGCAGCGCTCCTGTTCCGCCTTCAGGTTTTAGCTACTTAAACAGATTTACCAATTCGGAAAGCTCAACAGATGAAGAAGGTACTTGAATATATTTATACAGAGCAGGGCTTGAGAATGATTTATGCGTGGTTTTAATGAGATGTCTCGTTAAAATATATGCAATTCATAAGTTCATTGCACCATCTTGGCTTAGGTTTTGCTTTTTAAGGAGTACTTCAGCTAGGTTCAGGTTACTAAGGTAATATTGGTTCTTTATAGGTCAGTGTATCTTACCTTGAGAAGCAACCCAGTTGTAGACAACAAATCCATGTGAGCCACATGACTAGAACAGAGTTGACTTGATGAAATGGGCCTGGGTATCATCACAGCATCCCAATGCTACTAGACCATCTCAGTAGAGCAGTTGTAGGACTTGAGGACTCTGTACTGCCAACCCCTGGGTTCAGTAAAACAAGAATGATTCAGTTTCTTTAGCAGCTGGATTTGGTTCAGAATTGCTCTGCCAGTCGAAGTATGAGCTCAGTCATGTATCTGGGGAGTTACTATGCAGCTCTTTTTCAATGCAGTCTCCTACTGACTGTCCCTGTGTGTATACCCCATGCTCAACACCAGGAGTTGCTGCAAAAAGTTTGCAACAAAAGTTCTCTCTTTATTCCCCCTGCCCCCACTTGTAGGAAAAGGCTAATTCTTCAGCCTTCCTGTTTGCACTAAGGTAGTACCCTAAAGCAGGTGAAGACAGGGTTAATGTGTTAGGATTTGTGTAGCCTCTCCTCAGTAATTATAACAATGGATGTTATTCCTGTTGCTTAGGGGGTTGTGTCTGTAATGCTTTAACAAGGTTTGCTTTGGATTAATGTAGTTCTTGAGGATGTTTAAGACTATGTGATTTTTATATGAGTAAAAATCGTCCCCCTGCCTCCTTTTTTTCTTTGTCTTTTTAAGGTGGAGGCTTTGAATGGGATGATGACTTCTCTTCTTCAGAACCCTCCTTTATATCAAAGGCAGCTAATAGCCTTATTAGCCCTAAACTGCCTCTTCAGTCAAAGTATTTCTCTCCACCTCCACCTACCCGGACTCTCGAACAGAACTGGTCACATTCATCCCCTTATTCCAGATTCTCTATATCTCCTGCAAATATAGCAAGCTTTTCTCTCACACATCTTACAGATTCAGATATAGAGCAAGGAGGTAAGTTATTCAGTTCAAGTAATTGTTTTTATAAGAGTACTTCTGTAAAGTTTGCATCTTATGCTGTCTTTCAGTAAGTCATACCTTTCCCATTAGGTTGCGATTATTTGCAACCAAATAACTAGTGGTTGATTATTTTCTAGAATGGAGATTATTCTCTAGAATACTTGCAGGGCAAACTCACAATTTCTCTGTTTCCAAAATTAGCATTATATTTATATAAATGAAATGTATGCAGTCTTAAGCATTTCTGTATAGCTGTCACCCTGTAGCAATTGAATAAAAGAAAGCTAAGAATTCTTGTTATTACTTTGTCAAGGGTCAGAACTCATTGCAGAGGGTGAGGATGCTAGGAATATGTGGACTGTCATTGTTGTCCAAACTTATTTTACATTTCAGTTTCTCTTTATAGTTACATTTTAGGAAGCGCATTCTTAAATAAAAAATGAGCAGGCTTAAATCAGTTTAGCATATTATTAATCTTGATATAAAATACTGTATTATAAAACCGAATATTACTGATGGCTGAGCCTTGCTGATAGTTGATGTCTTAAATGTAATCAGTGTTATACAGAGTTGTATTGTTCTTCTATTTTGCTTACTGATTAGATAATGTTTGCAGCTTAATAACTTACCGATAAGAGATTATTTTGGAGATACTACATTGCATTATGTCCTAAGAAGTGACATTGAACAGTGTGAGTTAAGCAGATGTCTATGTAGAAATGTAGGAAATGTTTGCAATACTTGAAAGCTCTAGGGAAATATTAACCACTACTTGGAAGTGCAAAACAGCAGAAAGTCAAGTTCTAGGAAAAGTCTGGTAGAGAAGTGAGTGTTGCAGAGATTTTTGTGCAGAAAAATCTTCCTGTACCTTATGAACTTTCCTCTCCTAATAGGAAGCAGTGAAGATGGAGAAAAAGATTAGACAGATTGAAGCTTCTTCCTGGGATTACATAGAACACACGCACTCTGTGTCTGAAACTTCTTTATCTAAACTCTGGATATCCTGGAGTAAACACAGGTAATCAAGAAGTACTAAGAAATGAAAGTAAACACTGAAAGCAATGTTAAATCAGGATATTAATTTGAATGTGTATTTAACTTTGTAATGTATTTTTAAATCAGTGCAATTTTGCTTTTCATTGAAAGATGATTCTGCCGCTGTTTTCAAGTACTTGAAGTATTTTTCAGATAATTTAAGAAATAAGTAAAGCAATTACACTACAGTCTGGTTTATGTATGAGATTGTATAATATTCTTTTTATATTTTTTCCATGTAGTTCATTATCTATTTGAACATTCACCTGTTGTAGACTTGTGTATAACTGTCCTGTGCAACAGGTGGCTGTGTTGCTGAAACTGTATGAATGATAGTTGATCAGTAGTGAGCCATATTTATTGAAGAAGATATCACTACACATTACTTTGCTTATTACAATTGCACTATGGATTATTCTTCCTCTATTTCTGGATGATGTACAGAATTAAAGTCTTAAATTTTTCAAGGAAAATAGGACAAGTTGAATTGGCCCAGTTATCCAGTTTAATTTGTCATTTTTGTAGCCTTTGCTATGCACGATACTTGTAAAACATACATAACTTCTGAGTGTTATGTTAGACTTGCTGAAATCTTATATTCAGTACCATTTCTAAATGATTATCAATTGGTAGTGTTCATGTTTTGTAGGAAACTGGAAAGGAATACCTGATATACTCTGGAATTAATTTTTAGATGAGATGGTGTCTCTTCATTCCTGAATGTGATCTCACTGACTGCTTAAACAGTACTAGCATTTGATTCTGTCATGCTTTAAAGGCCTTCCAGTTTTCAGTACAATTTCTGCTTTGGAGATAAGAGTCAAAAAAATCTACAAAAATGTATAAAACTGTATGGAATTATGAATATTTAAAAAAAAATTCTACAGACTGGATTTAGGCATGCTTGGCCCTTTGTTTTTTCATTCTATGAATTTTCAAGCCCTCTTGACCTCCTCCTGACTGTAGATTGGAGTTGTCATTGAGGCCTGTGGTAGATCTACCTCTCAGTGATTTTATTATAATGGAGAATTACATTAATGGTGGTTAATTTAAGCATTTGAATAAATCTTGATCCAAAGTGGTGGTCAGCTGGCACTCATATTTTGTACCCTTTGAGCCAGACTGATTTTTAAGAGGTCTTCAGGGCTCCATAGTGCATCTTGAAATGTGCACTGACCCAAAGAGGCAAGATAGAGTTTGTTCTGAAGCTGTCTGTAGAGAAGGGAATATGTGTGTGTGCGCTCATGTGTGTCTTTTTGGTTTGTTTTTAATCTTTCTTTATATTTAGCTAATTTAATCCTTTAAGTTGTTTGAGAACCATCTTTAATTACTACCCCAAAGCGAGTTCAATTGTGGAACAAATCTCTGGCCTCCTGGAATACCTTATGCAGCCACGGATCTGTGGGGAGCGCTGACAGGAATGATTTTAAAGCATTTCGTATTTTGGTGACTCTTTGTCAGGCCTTCAGTGTAACGCTGGTCTAGGTTCTCTGTGTTCTAAAACCTAGAATTCTAAAACCTAGAATGGTTTTCATACCTATATCCAGTCAAGAGAGAATTTTGATCACACAAAGCATGGGAGGGCTAGATGCTTCACATGTGTTAAGCTTCTGTGTTGTATACTTCTATGTGTGTGGCTTTTTTTTTTTTTTTAAGTAAGTTTTAAATGACAGGACTATAATTTTTTTCCAGCATTATTTAGCCCCTAAAACCTAGAATGGTTTTCATACCTATCAAAAGGGAATGATTTAGTTCAAGTTGTTTAAAATTGCCAGTATATTGTTGAAATGACTAATTCAGATGAAGCACTCGGGTGCAGAACTTGCTCAGAACTGTACTTCAGTATGAAATGAGGAACAGAATTTTTCATGGACTTCTCCCAACACAAGATTTACAAGTCAAAGCCAAGTAGCTCTTAATACCTGCTTACGATATGCACTGTAGAGGGCTTAAAGAAGCAGTGCACTACTACTCAGTATCTGTTAAACTATTAGACTTTGTGCAACAAGTATTACAGGTTACTACTTCCATAATACCAACATTAAATTCCTTGATAACTAGGTTAAGGCATCTCATCTGTTTTCTATAATTCTCATTATATCAGAAATTAAGTAGGAAAATTAAAACCTAGGAAGGAAACCCTTTGGCCTGCAAAATTGAGCTGCGAAGAATGTGTGGGCTTATCTGCCTTACATGAGGGGAAAAATCTAAAGTATCAGACCAGAGCTCAACGTTAATTTTGATTTGCTTGATTTGGAACGCAGTTCAAGGTTAAATAAAAGCTTATACACCTGAATGTTATAAATCCCAGCTATGCTTTTCTTTCTTGCAATTCTGGAAAGTCACATATCTGAATTTTTACTCCTTTGTCTCAATGGACTAATGGCTGAAGAACTGTCAAAGGAGCATGTTTTCCAGAATGGGTTGGGATGTGTTTGATAGTAAGCCTGGTAACATCTTTTTTTAGTTATATAATGAAGGAAGGTAATATTAAAAGTTGACTCACCATACCTAAACTACAGATTTTAATTTCAGTAATCCAATAGGCTGTATTGAAGTAACCTAAAAGGTCTTTTTTGAGAAATATGTAGTTAAAATCAGATCAACTGCTAGCAATATCTAAGTAAATCCACTGAGCAGTCAGTTGCACAATGAAAATAAATTAGTAATTCCAACACATTACAGTTTAATAAGGGAGTTTGTCCTGAGTCATACATTATATGTAATTTCTTGCACTAGCTACTTAAGCATGGTTTCTATTTTTAGAAGTACATGTATCTATTTTCAATGGTTTATAATGAGGACTGGTTCCATTTTTAATTCCTTCTCTAGTAGAAAACCTAGATTATTCAAATATTTAAAGGCATTGTCTCAATTTGGCTAGTAAAATTATTGAAATATGATCTGATTTCCTACCTTAAGGAGGTTTGTTTAATAATGAGGGTCTGTAGTGAGAAGCCAGTGAAGTGAGAAGGGTGTCTGGTTTAAATGGAAGCACCTGTACTCTCCCAAATCCCCAACCTTGCAGTCAAGATGCGTATATAACTGCATTTATGGAAACTGCCATTTGCATGGAAACAAAGTGATTGAACATTTTTTCCATATCCTTGTTGATGCACTAATGAAAGCCATTTAAGTCTCATTCTTTTTATCAGTATTTTTAGCAGATTTTTATGTAATACTAAACCTTTTTCCATGAGGAGGCTGGTTGGTAGGAAGACATATTTTAATGATTAAGCACTATGCTAAAATGTCGGCATTGTCAGGTGTTAGTGGCATGGCTATTTTTGTTGAAGTTGGTAAAAGGCGGAATCAAAGCATATTAGCCTTATAAGAAATAGCCTTAAAATAAGAATGGAGTGTACAAAATTACTACAGCTTTAAGTCATACAAAAATATCCTTGTATGTTAATGGATTTTGGTACAAGACTGGAAGAAATCTAGAGGAGAGTCAAGCATCGTATAAACTTATTGAAAATAAGTATTTGTAATACCAGCAGCCTGTTTTTCAGAAACTTGAATATGACTTACAGTTAGTTTTTGTTTATGAAATTGTTTGAACTTGCACAGTTGTAGGTGTAACTTAAATGATAAATGGTACTGATGTGTGTATATATAATGTTTAATTCTATTTGTAAATGAGAAACTATGTAACAAAATCATAGGTATGAGGTTTTCCTATTGTAATTTAATACAGGTATGAGGTTTATGGCAATATATCATAGTTAATGAAATTTCAGGTCAAAATGTCTTTAAATTGTGTACATTTTTAAATTGTAATTTCTACTGTATATTGATTATCATGCATAGTGTGATTCAATAAATTGCTTGTAATTTAAAAATATTTAATATTAAAATAAAATACAGTTATATATTTATAATCTCTTTGTCTTTGTTTGTTCATTCTTACACAGATACCAACAATAGGTTAGGTCTACGTTGTAGTAGAGGTGATTGCAGTAAAGAAGCAATACTCAATACAGATGGAATATAACTCTTAAAATCGATTATTGCTTTTAATCCTACAACTTGGCCTGTGTAGAAAGGGAGTGCAGATTTCGCTGTTCGTAAGTACACTTCAGAGAACAGATTAATGATATGTGCTCACTATTTATTGAGTTTATTTCTATAAGAGAAGTATGACTTTTTTAAATCTAAATACATGTGTTGAACTAACGAAGATCTCAGGTAAATTAAGTACTTGTGCATATTGATAGCTTCTTTCTCATGAGATTCAGATTTCATGTGAGCCCTGGTACTGCCTGAGGCAGGAGAGGTCTGGGTTTTCCTCTTAACCTGTTAACTGCTCAGGTTATGATGAAACTAGTACAAGTCATCGTATCGGTGTTCTGAGTCCCGGTAACTGTTGAAACCTTGGAACAAGAACCTGATATCAAGGTGACTTAATATTAAAGGTAAAATATTAACTACAGGACTGAAACTTTACCAAGACACTGGCCTCTCTCAAGAAGAGACACCAAAGATTTCAGCACTTACTGGTCATCTCCTATAGGACCTTCTACCAAAGAACATGGATGTTCACAATCTTCATCATCATCATCCATCTTGTATGGGATGATGTGCTTTGTCCCAGGGTCTTAATCTTGCAGGCAATATAACTTGCATAACCCAGGCTGTGAAGTCAGGCTGAATTTTGTTTGTGTTAAACACTGAGGTGTAAGCAAACTCTGCCTCGGGCAAAAATCAAAATATGGGTATGCAAGGGGGAGCTGTGATGCTGTCTCTCGGCACAGAGGAGCTGTTGGAGACGCTGGAGCTGGCACCGCGACCATGGCCATGGTTTCATGGGCCAGCTCCTCCTGAAGGGCTGGCTGCAGCACGGGCGTCTTGACAGCCAGACTCGATGTTAAGGGAGGTGTTAAAGACCGCTTACAGAATGGACTGGTAGTGTGTGTGTGGCGGGGGGGTGTTGCGGGGGACAGGCGGGGAAGGCTGTTATGCTTCTGCAGAGCTTTTATATTCTCTGATATGATAAAATGACTGAAAACAGGCACTGCTTTGGGATTTTTGCTGTTATTTCTGAGTGTCTAAATGAAATAGCTTGTGATGCTATCTGTCCTCCTCCCCATGAAGTTACGGATTGTGCAGGTGGATATGTATATATATGGATTATAATATATCAGTGCCTAGCCATGACCCCAACTGCCCACAGGGTGTTTTATAAGGAAGCACTTTAAAACCTGGTCATGATGGAAGGCCGAATGCAAATGTTTTCCCGCTTATTGTGCTGTAGAAATGCAGTTTGGGACAAAGCACGTTACCTGTCACCTGGCTCAAGCAGCCATTTAAAAAGGAGAGAAGGAGGCGGGGCGGGGGGAGAAGGAAAGACAGAGGCTTTCCCTGGAGGAG